GTCAGTACAAAAATCCAAGCTGTGCTATAAAGCGTCCGTGCAGGCCATCTTAAGCCTGTGTTAAAATGGCTTTGCAAGCCCACGCCTCATCACCGAAGATGCCAGCTGGAGAGAATAACAAGAAAAGATAAAGAGTATCTTGCTCTCACTTTCCCTAGCTGCATTTCTTAGAGACTGAGGGACAAGTAATGACCCTGGTCCTTGCCACACAGAGATAACATGGACTTACCAGCCTTGCTTAATGTCTAACCCAAAAGTTCTTGTTTATGTTGTCTTGAAGTATGTGAATATTAGATGCATTAGCCATTCCCTGCACGCTAGAAAGTATATAAAGTACATAAACTGCAGCCACATCTGCAGAACTTGGAGCAGCTCCTCAGAATACTCTGTTGGACTGTCCCCTAGGTCTCCAGTTCCTCACTTTGATTATCAAATAAACTCCTTCATTTCACCTTTATCTAGACTCTTTATTTCAGCTGAAGCTTTTAACAGAGTTTTCAATTTTTTTAGGTCAAAATATTTATACTTTTATTATTTTATTGTGAACCTATTCCCTATTACTGCTATTATTACAAATGGTATTTTAACACTATCAAAGGTGCACTCAAAATATTGAGGTTTATTATTTTCTCCTAAAGTATGAGAATGAAAGATTCCAGTACTTAGTACTTACAACAATAGTGATGAGAGTAATAATTCTAGAAATGGAAAATTTAAGCACTATTTGTGCCAACCATTATTATTTTTTTTTTTTAAAGATTTTATTTTTTCCTTTTTCTCCCGAAAGCCCCCCAGTACATAGTTGTGCACTCTTCGTTGTGGGTTCCTCTAGTTGTGGCATGTGGGACGCTGCCTCAGCGTGGTCTGACGAGCAGTGCCATGTCCGCGCCCAGGATTCGAACCGACGAAACACTGGGCCGCCTGCAGCGGAGCGCGCGAACCCAACCACTCGGCCACGGGGCCAGCCCCGCCAACCATTATTTTAAGTGCTTTTAAACTAACTTAGTCTTCATAGTCATCCTATGAGCTGGGTACCATTTCCCCATCTTTAAGATGAGCAAACTGAGACACAGGAAGGTGAATTAACTTTCCCAAGAAACTTTCTCAGTAGGTAGCAGACCCAGGAGTCTAGCCAGGGAGCCTGGTTCCACTATGACCACTGCTTCCCATCACTGTCTCTCATCTGGAACCCTCATGTGCTTACACCAACACACTCTGTCTACAAGTTGGTCTTCAAGAAATGGTCTGCATTGTGCTAAGTCAAACAGAAGGGCTCAAGGTGCCTTAAAAGGACAGGTAATAACATTATGTCTGAATTTTATGATGGTAATTGTTCATTCCCAACTATCCTATTGGTTTCATAATTATTCACTCTGTGATCTAGTCCTTCCTTGCTCTCGCCTCCTTTGCCCTACTGCTGCCTCACTGGGTAGCCTGGCAGTCCCTGAGTCCCTGAGCCATGTCCTATCTCTGAGCCATTGCTCACACTGCTCCCTCTGCTCAGAACACCCTTCCTTCCTGCTCAGCAGCAACTCCTGCTCAACGCTTGTCCTCTTAGACTTAATCCCCTCAACATCTGCTCTAGAAAGCACTTTCTGCTTCCCCAAAGACGCAGTGAGCAGTCCCTCTCCTGGACGCTCCTCTGCATGGATCTCTCAGGTCACTGTCACATGTTTTTGGGTTGAATAGTTCACAGGCTGACTCCATTCATCCATGTGGCCATAACATCTAGCACAGTATGTCCTTCATAGCGGCTATTCAAAAACATTTGGTGCTCAAAGTACCACTGCTGTCAAACAGAGAACAATGGAGAAGAACATACTGTAATGAATCTAATATTGAAAATCATCATCTTAAAGCTTTATGCACTGGAGAAAGGTTTGGCCGTGTAGTTTCTTTTGCTGCCTATCTCCCAGGATCCTGGTAACCTAGCAACTGACCAGACAAGGGCTGCTCTCTTTGCGTTGTAATATGCAGAGTAAGTAAACTAAGAAACTACTGTGTAAGCACTTACTGATCTTGGTTTCTTTACTGGAAAGAAAGAAAAGACCTAAAATAGGCAGAAGAGACCATCCATAACAGGAGATTGTGGATTTTGTCCAAAAAACCAGACTTCTTCTGGAGCAACGAGACTGGTCCCAAAATTTGACAAATGTTACCTTCTGTGACCTCATACCATTTGGCAACCACCTCTGAGATGACAAGCCTCCCAGGCACAAGTGTCTGCCCACAAAACTTTCTCCTCAGGAGCTGATTCAGAAGTGAAACGTGTATTTTATCCACATTTTCCCTGCCCGGCACAGTGAGTTCTCATTTCTACTTTCTCTATGTTTCATACCTTTCCTGATTTTACCTTTCCACCTTTTCTTCATTTGTAGTTTTGTTAACTTCCATGTTGCATCCTATCCCTTGTATTTATCTGTTTTCCTCTCTTCCAAATAGTATTCATAGTTCCCTTCAACTTCCAGCTTTAAGCCTAATCTAAAATTTATTCTTTTTTCAAAAAATTCCTTTTGTTTCTCCCTTACCACCAGTGTTCTGCTCCTGCCCTCCCACCACAAAATGAACTTCTTAAAGATCAGTAACAAGCGAGACTGGAGCATTGTGAGCCCCGCAGACTCTACATAAAATGGGAAGCCAGAGCCTCCTGGGCCCTCAGCGGGCCCTGCCTCAGCCTTTCAGGCACCGCAGAAAGGCCATCCTAACCATGCTGCTTTGAAGAACCTTCCCCTGGAGGCAGGAGGCATTTTCTCCTGGGCTCTGGCCCCAGCCGAATACTATGTTTAATTTTCTCATACTTACTAGTTATACAGGAGTGTATAACTCCTTCATACTGAGGCAAAAAAAATGGGCATTTGGAACCACAAGTGTGACAAGACAGACAAGACCTCTGTATTCTAGTGGGGAGCAAACAGAAAAGAGAGTTTGGGAAGGGCGACTACACATGAGGGGGGATTTAAGCTGGAGAGTGTGTGTGTCTACCTGAGACAGGGTGGGCAAAGGAGGTCCCTGGGGGGTAGGGGCAGGGTAACATCTCAGCTGAGTCTGAAGAATAAAAAGGAATCAATCATGAAAGAAGCAGGAGGATGATGTTGCAAGGCTGAGGGAATAGCAAGTGCAGAAGCCCCAAAGTGGCAGAGCTGGCCTGTTTGATGAGCAGAAAAGTCTTCCCAGCCTCCACTTATTTGCTAAATGCTGTCAGAGTCTCAGGCTCCTTTTCTCCAGAGCACTTCTCTTGGGTTATAATGTATCCGTTAGTATTATGTTTTTGTTACTGTCTCCCAATAAATTTTAGGAAATATTTCTTGATTATCTACTGTGTGCTTGGCACTGGGGATCTAACAGTGAGCAAATACCGTCTCTGCTTATATTCGGGTGTGTGTGCAGACAGACAATAAAGATCATGAAAACAGGAGTGGTTTGTTATTGCTGAGCAGGGTACCCTCAGGACCAGCACAGGACCTGGCACAGGGAAGGCAAATCTTTGTGGAATGAATGCTGCTAAGGAAAGAATGCAGCATACAAACGGTATATGTAACAGGATCCTGAAAATAACTTGGGCAAAGGAACACAAGAACATTAGAAGACAGAGGAAATATACCAAAGTATTTAAAATGGTTGTCCTTTGTGTAAGTTTTATACAATAAGCATGTCTTTTTCAGTATATACAGTTTTTAAAGTATTTATTTGATTCAATGAAACATGAAACAAACTTAGTAGACAGGCCTTCGGCCATACTTTTTGAGCTATAGAGGAAAGCTAGATTAACATTATTTATGGTTCACCTCTTAGGATAATCATTTGTCACTAGGTTTGGCTACCAATGTGTTTTAAGTTACTTCGGATATCCCTTCAAATATGATCCAAAATAATAAAAAGAAGGGAACAATGCCAAAAAGCCATTCGGTAACAGACGTGGATACTGCCTGTATTGGATGGGAACAGGAAGATAACTACCCGGCAAAAAAAAAAAACAAAAACGCAACAACCTGCAAGCCAATACCAGTATGATCTTGGGCAAGAAGGAGCCTGAGAACGTCAGGTACAAAAGCGTGGCGCGCCCCTCCCAAACCCTCGGAACCCCAGGCACCCAGAGCCTGCTCTCACCCCAGCAGTACAGGCACACCACACGCTTCCCAGCCCCCTGACGAAGCGAGCAGCGGGCCTCCTCGCTCCACACGCACCGCTGGGCTGGCCACTTCCGTGGAACACACACCCGACAACACCGCCCGCGGCTTCCCCAGCCCAGCCACGCGGGGCACAAATACCCCTCTCAACACGGCACCATCCGGCCCAGGGAAGCAGGGCAAACCCTCCCCACCGGCACAGCACGAGTCCCAGCAACTCCCCCACGCTCCTGGGCACTCAAGAGCAAGCCCTCACCGCAAGCACCGCGTCCGCGCTCCCATCCCGACTTGGCTCAGTGCCGGTAACAGCCTGCAAGCTTTCGCTAGGGACACAGCCTGGCCCGGTCAACACCGGCTCACCCACCCCGCCGCACCGCTCGGTGCCGACCACCAAGCAAGCCTTCACCTCCTGCGCTTCGTGGTCCTCACCGCCGGGATCCCTGCACAGCGCCACCCGGGGGGAAGGCTGGCCACGCACTACACACTCCGCACGACCCGGGTCGACTCAGCCCCGCGCCACCTGCACGACCCAACGAGCGAAGTTCCCCCGCCCTCGGCTCCGGTCGGCCTGCCCCCGACCCGCTCCCGTTCGCGGTGGAGCGCACGCCCTCTCCAGGCTCCTACCGGACGGGGATACGGGTAGCGGGAGCACTAGGGCCCCTAAAAGGATCCCAGCGGAGCACCAAGAAGAGAAGTGGCTCTGGGGGCAACAGAGAGATGCCGAGAGCCGCGCGCAAGAAGCCATCATTTTCGGGGAGATCCGCGAGATTCCCGCGAGGCGGGCCAGCGGAGCTTTTCGAGTCTGGTCACCAAACGCAACAATCCACGAGCTCACCAAGTGTGAAGGGCGGCACGGCGGGTGGGCGTGGCCTGTGGCAACCTGGGGCGGAAGTGACGTGACGCACCTGGGCCGAGGGGCGGGGCCAATGGGGCGGCTGCAGAACGGGGCCTCGGCTCAGGGAAAGCGCGTTAGGGCCGAAGAGGACGCCGCCGGGAACTGATGGACCCGCGTCTGCGGGCGGCTCCGGCTCCTCCCGCGTGAGCCTGACCGCTCTCTGGCCGCACCCTCTGCAGACCTGCCCGGGAGCCCCGAGGAGGCTTGCGGGAAACGGCTGGGTCACCGCCGCATTCGTACGCGGTTAACACCCCACGCAGGAAGGGCGGAAAGGAAACAAGAGCTGGCGGGTCGTCAGTGGCCCTTTTCCGGATCGGTGGATCGAAAACTAAAGCGCCTCGACCTGAAAATAGAAACCGGGAGCCCAGGCAGCGGGTCACCGTGGGACCAGCCGCCTCCGGGCTTCAGTTGTCCTGGGGCGCTCTGGGCTTCAGGACTACCTGGGCCCTCAGTATTCAGCATCAGTCAGGCACAATTAGGGACAATACCTGAGAGCTGTGGTTGAGCCTCTGCTACTGCATCCCGTGCAGGCCTGCTAGAGTTCAAAACCATGAAGACTCGGCCTCTGCACTCGCAACCCCTATCGTGAATTACTCTCCCCCCACTACCTTGAGAGCACGCCTGGGAAGGTCAATTATTAAAGGACACGGGGCCCTTAGACGCTGGGCCTCAGTTCTGTGGGGCCCTTGCCCTTAAGCAACTCAATGTTTTATTGAAGATGTGAATCCTTAAAACAAAATGGTAAGCAAAATGTAGTTTATTAGGAAATAACAGAGGAATTGCAATTTGGGACGTGGAAACTATAGTGAACCATACAGACAAATCCAGAGAACGAAGGAAGGGAGAAAGTGGGAAGGAGCTGTTTTAAGCAGTTCATTGGAGGAAACCAGGAGCTCGAAGTGGTGGTGGCTTCTCATTGGCTGCTTGCTGTTGCTGGGTGAGGAGGAAATCTTCCTCTCTTGCTGGGGCTGTAAGCAGGAGGAGTGGTAATGCATGAGGGCTTCACCGTCAGGGCCTCCTGACTCCATTTTGAGGGAGGTTTTTCTTTATTCACTTAGAGAGAGACGAAGATACATGCATGAAAATCATAAAGACAAGGGTGTATTAAATGCCAAATTCTTGGAAGCAATGAATGTCATTAGAGTTGGGATGGGTAGGAATTGGATAGGTGAAGTGGATAAGGGGAAGAACTTTTCTGGAGAAACAATCTCTCAGACAGTGCTGGAAAATTAAGAATGAGCAAGATTTATTTGTACAGTTGTGAGTAAGCCTGTAAGGCTAATAAAAGAAAAAACAGGTAACATGACTGGTATTAAAAGGCAAACAAAAGGAGTTGACATTTTCTTCCTATTACTTGGCGAAGAATAAAAACAGTCAACCAACGTGAGTAAACATACTGAGGGGACCAGCATCCGCAAACTTTTAGCTTTTAACATAAGTTTTGTGCGTGTTAAAAGTTTTTAAATAGAAATGATTTTTCAACCATCAGTTCCATTTAGAGTTTATCCCCTAAGAAATCATCAAAGCTATGAGCAAAGATGTATAATTTTGAAAAAAATATAAACCATAACTGTCAGCCAAATTATTAAGGAATTTATGGTAGGTCACTTTATGGGATATAATTCTATGCAGCAAGCAGTGTAAAAAATACTGATGTGACAAACTGTGGAACAGAAGTGGAAAAAGCAGACTCCAAATCAGTATATACCCTTTAGCTTTCCTTTTTTCTTTTCTTTTTTCTCTTTGGTGAGCAAGATTGGCTCTGAGCTAAAATCTGTTGCCAATCTTCCTCTTTTTGCTTGAGAAAGATTGGCACTGAGCTAACATTTCTGCCAATCTTCCTCTATTTTGTATGTGGGATGTGGCCACAGTGTGGCTTGATGAACAGTGTGTAGGTCCACACCCAGGATCTGAACCTGCAAACGCCAGGCCGCCAACGTGGAGCACACAAACTTAACCACTATGCTACCAGGCAGGCCTTTAGCATTCCTTTTATTAAAACAAAAGTAGTATATTGATACATGTAAAAAGAAATTAGTTGGAAATATATGAAAATTAACTAATAGTTGATAGGATTATGGTAATTTCATTTTTTTTGTGGTTTTCATTTTTCTATATTGACCCTATGTTACATTTGGAATCAGGTAAAGAAAAAATTCTTAAATCTAACATATATATTAACTGCTATTTTATTCATAGGCTGGTGGGGATAGAGGCTGTAACAGACAGGATTATGTATGAGAGGATGGTGAGTACATGAAAGCTCTCTCTCTAAACCTCAAATGCATCTTCTGGAATTACAAAACTTTATATATACTTAAACAATTCTATATCTGAGATGTACCAAAAACATTCCAGGTTCAACAAACCATGTAATTTCCTCTTCCTCTCAGAACACCACAATTTTTTGGATTATTTGAATTCAAATATCAAATATTCAAATATCAAAAAATATTGAATTTTTTGAATATTTCTTGACAGAATGTAAAACACTAAGTGTGGATCTGATGTATAAAATAAACACTTTAGTATCTTGGATTATAAAACCGAGATAGTCATTGATGACACTTAATTGAAAGGTATAATTAAGGACACAGTAAATAGGAAACTCAGTGAGGCGGAATTATCATTTCTATTCATTCTTACAGTTGTAAAAGAGTGATAGAATGGACATGTTCTGTGGCTCAAGGTTGGCACTTATTTGTGAAAACAGAGAATCTATTGTTCTCTACAAACATCTGTACACAATGTTCTATGTCAATAATATCTTGATGAAGCTGAAAAAAAACCTTTCCATCTATTTATAGGCTTGGAAGTAAGTATTTTTTTCCCATGAGAATTTGAAAGATAGGGGAAAAATATGGAATATGGCTAATGGTTGGTATTCTACTTACAGGTGCTAGATTAGATTCAAGGTTTGGGGTTTTACAGAACTTTCAATCAGTGAAATTTCTAGACTGGGATTCATCAAACCATTCTTAATTTAATTGAAGACTTTAGCATTGATTTCTTTAACTTATTTTGATTTCACCCTACTGTGGCTCCATTTGAAAGGTTCTGAGCCTTGTTCCCTATTTTTCTGGACTAGCTCCATGAAACAGCGATAGTGTTTTCTCGCTGTATCTCCAGTGTAGAGACTGTTCTAGTCTATAGTAGTGTATAATAAATAACAAATAATGAAATAAATGGGTGTTGCTGTCAAGTGCATTTAATGCATCTCTGCCAGTTCTCCCCCAGCATGGATTTACCAAATGCTGGGAAAGTTCTGAGAGATTTTGATTTTAGTAATTTTAGACACTAGGAACAAAGTGGGATTTGTCTCTGAAAGGAATGAGCTACACCTGTCTGCGCAGAAAACTTTCCTAAACCAGGCATTGTAAGCTGGCCTGTGAAGTGGAGCTCCTGTCTCTCCATGAGCCTTGAGATGATTTTAGTGACCGAGTTCAAAGGGAGAGTATTGACCATGAACTTCCTAAGGTCCTGACAGGAACAGAACTCAAGAGTCAAGGCTTTGAGTGAAGTAGGCAGTAAATACTAGGGGTTTATCTAACTGCCACTAAAGATTTTGTCAAACTGCCAAAGAGAAAATGAGGAGAGAATGGAGAATACACAGGTGTGTAGACTAGGCTTTGAGCCATATGGTAGACCTCCTTTAGGCATTCTGAATGGCAGTAGGCTGGAGGTAGGTGTGTGGGGATGTCATGCAACAGAGGCCAACTTCTTTAAAATAAAACTTAACATTTGGTGCTTCTTTGCCTCCTCAATTAGTATATTTACGTTATGCTCTTCAGGGGTGAGGGAAGCAGCGTGAATGGGCCTGTGAAGGCTCTCAGAAAAGGCTTTCCACCATCACTGTGAATTCCACATTAGGTATTTGTGAAAACCTGAAAGAGAATGGCTAAACAGAGGATAGTTAAGCCCCTTTGTGATCTTGGCCTTGGGACCTGTGCCATCTCTGTTTGCACCTGGCAAAGCACCTGCCAGCCAACTGACCTTCATATTTAGCTGTTAAAGAGCATTAGTGTGGTATGCCACACCCAGAGCAAGGATTCTGAAACCAATCAAGTGCAGAAAGGAGGGCATTTTTCAGAAGGAACGCATATTTACTTTGTTTCCTCTTGGCTTTTGGAGGCTTTAAAAAGTAAGTATATTATAAACCATGTTCGATTAGTAGATTTGCAAAGATAAAATCTTTTATTTCTTTTTCATGATGGTGGAGACACAAAGTTTCATTTAAATGTCATAGACTTTAACTTACATCTCACCCTTAAGTGTACAAAAATGCAAACGAAACAAAACAAAGTTAGAATATCAGCATTAGGAATAGCTTTGGAGACCAATTGGTCCAGCCCCTGCTTTTCCGATGGAAAATGTTAAGGCCAGAGGCTAACAGAATTGCTCAATAAGACAAGGTGATATATACAGTATTTCCCATAGACAACTGTTGATTAAAGAAACAACTGATTTCTTGCAATTAAAAAGTCACAAGCATCAGATATTTGTTAATCACATTGCTCACTGACCTACTACGTTCTGGAACAAAAAAAAAGAATGCAGAATTTTTTCTTGTGACGGGGAATTTTAATCCTAAGAAAGGCAAATTCCTGATCGATTAATTTCTAGCCCTTTTTTAAAATTTAATTCTATAGAAACCTAAGAGATAATAAGTCTTGCTAAAGTTTCAAGTAAGCAAAACCATTGAGCATCTTTTCACGTATCTGTGGGCTACTTGCCCTTCTTTTTTTGGTGACTTGGGTGTATGTCTTTTGCCCAATTAGGGGGAGGAGGGGAGGAGGGGAGTTTAAATATTAACTCTAAATAAGCCAATTACCTTTTGTCTGTTATGTAAGTTAAATTTTTTCTCCCAGTTTGTCCAGTGACTTTTCTTATTGTGGGTTTTTTCTATCTTGCATAATTTCAAATTGAAATTCAAGTTGATGTCCAGCTTATTATATTTATCAAGGTTAATGTGGCAGAATACATGCTAAAAACAACTATTAAAATCAAGAATTACACAGAGTTAGCAGTAGGCATATACAAATCTATTGTTAAATATCCAGAAGGATTCTGATGTTTTCTGGAGATCATTAGCATGGCCCACAATATCATATCAAATACATATTCTGAATCCATATGAAAGTAATCTAGTTACTTTTATAATAATTATTCTTTTATTTAAATTTTAGTATGTTTTTTATACAGAACATAGTATGAAGTGCTTTTGAAATAGAGCTTAGGAAATATCCAAAGCTCAAGAATGCTAACCACTGGGTGGAGGCTCTTATAGGTGATTTTTATATTCTTTTCCTTTTTTGCTCAGGAAGACTCGCCCTGAGCTAACATCCATGCCAGTCTTCCTCTATTTTGTATGTGGTTCACTGCCACAGCATGGCCACCAATGAGTGGTGTAGGTCTGCACCCAGGAACTGAACCCCAGGCCGCTGAAGCAGAGTGCATGCAACTGAACCACCAGGCCACGGAGCCAGCCCTATATTCATTATATTTCTGTGTTTTCAATAAGGAGCACATATTCTTGAAAGAAAGTTGTTTATTTTAAAAATGGTATAGACAGGAACTGCTGTGCCTTCCAAAAAGGGACAGCACTTTGGACTGGAGTTATTTGGGTGAGCGAATTCTAAGTTGGGTTAATGCAACTAGGATTGGAAGAAAGGTGGCAAAGTGTTTTGGCAGGCAACCTGGAAAGAATGAGGTGATATCCAGTGATATTTTGAACACTCCTGTGGAATGTTTTTAGATGAACTTTTGTAAAGACAAGCATTGCCCTCACAAACTGCTGTCATTTTGTCTGTTTATATTTGGTGGTGGCATGGCTGACTGAATCAGTTTTGCACAGCTCTTCCATTATGGTACCCCACTAGTAAAGAGAAACAAATGTATCACCCCAAGAGCCTTGGAGGCAGAATTTAAAGCATCTCTGAAACCACAGTCTTCTCTGTCTGATTTTATCGTGAAATCTCCTGCATTTTTTGCCTTCTGCAACCTTATATATGTATTTGTGTTAATATAGAAATAATGGTATTTTCTCTTTGATCTATTGGGATAACATTAGAAAAAATGTTCTCCTAGGAGGCCATGCCATTTTCACTCATGACTTCTATATCTATATATCTATATCTATAAACTAGCCAAACATCCTCAGGTATTTGCAAACACCCATTTGAGAAGGATCAAAGTAAATGATCATTAACCTTTCAAAAAAGTAAATGACCAATTCTGAATTTTTAAAAATCAACGCACATTTCATTTGCTTCCATAAACAGTCATGAAAAACAAGCTATTAGATAGAAGCCAAGTATGTAAAAGCTGGATAAAAAAGCCAGATAACAAATATAAGGCTATTCAAATTCATTTCTTTTTAGGGGAAAATAGAACATAATCTGTATTTTTGTTTACTTGGAAATATTTGAATTACCTATATCTTGGTGAACTATACAATGCGTTTCCCACTCCCTTAACTTTTCCTGCGGCCACTTGTACTGTCTTCTGTTGAATTTAGGATTTCTGACATGTGTAGACAGAAAATGCCAGGTTTTGATTAATGCACAACAATATGGGAAAGAGGTAGGACAGAAAGAAAGAAAATTTACTAAAACATATGGTGTTTTTTCTTCTACTTTCTACAAGAGCAACCTAAACCCTTTCAAGGGCTTTTGGTGCTGTTGTTTCTGACAATACCCTGAGGATCTTCTGGACGGGAAATTTTAGGACTCCTGTGTGTAGCCAGAGTAGGGAGGGACCAGTTGAATTGCTCTGTTAGATAAAGAAAAATGAGGTTACCCTGAGAACGCATTAAAGATCTGAACAAAAGGGACAAGTGTCTAATGTGAGAAGGCCTGGGAAAAGGGTGGCCTGCCAGGCTTAAAGAAGGACCAGCAGTGAGAAGATCCTCATGTTATGACAGGGTTCAGGGGTCAGCAGACTTTTCCCCTTAAGGGCCAGATAGTAAGTACTTTGGTTTTGTGCGCCATGCAGTCTGTGAGTCTCTGTGGCATCTACTCAACTCTGCTGTTGTGTGGAAGCAGCCATAGACAATAGGTAAATGAATGAGTGTGGCTCTGTCCAGTAAATCTTTATTTTCAAGAACAGTGCCTTTTAATGCAGTGATTTCTCATATTGTGTTCTATGTTGTGTGCCACTTAGGGTTGAAGTATAATTTCCCTTTTCACCCCAAATATTTAGCAAACAGCTAAACATTTACTAGACAACAACTTATAGTTAGGCTGCTGT